TTTCGACGTGCTCGCGCACCGGCGGCACTTTGACCGCCTCGCCGACACCGCGCTGAATCTGCTGCTCGCGCACACGCGCCTGTATGCGTTCGCGCTCGGCCTCTACGGACGCACCGCGCGTGTCTTCCGCTTCGACCGCAGCGCGGGCATCGTCTCGCAGGCGTTCGACTACGTCGCGCACCCCGAGGTTCTGCAGCGCTTCCTCTGGAAATTTGTTAATCCCCGCGCGGAGCCCGGCCTCGTTGTCCGCCCTGGCGCGGTCGTCGGCGCGGACATGTCGGTGTGGTGGCCGACGAAGGACGACTTGGCGTGGGCGGCGAAGGTGCTGCGCGAGAGCGGGAAGCCGAAGATGACGGTGGGCGATCTCAAGGCTGCGCGCTGGGTCATGGCGGATTCTCCGACTCCGGAGAACCCCAATAACAAAGTGCAGTACCTAGCCATCCGTTTGCTGTTCATCAAGCCCAAGCTGTTCTCGCGGACGACCATGCTGTGGGAAGTGATAAGGGAAGGCGATGAGAGCGGAAACACGTTCATGATCAAAGACATGTGGTGCGAGCGCAATAATGACGACTTTCATCAGAAACTGGCCAAAGGGTTTTACTTCGCGGAAGCGACGGCGGAGACAAAGTGAGTATTTTTCCAACCAGACTGTATTATTGTAGTAGATACAAATTATTGTGGACATGTTATGTAAACTTGGCCTGCCTGTATCCACTTTGTTCGTCTCCAATATTATATCTCGTGCCCTCAGTCAAGCATGCATCATGTTAAATAGTACATCCAGATCGTAGGTCCTTTCTGAAGTTTTGTCTACAGTGTTTGAGTTTCCACCGGAGCGGCGTGGTTCCCGATATCGGTCGCGCACTCGCGAGCCGCCTTTCCATACTGGTTCTTGAAGAATACGACATCACCGCACGATTCGATGAATTTGCACTGCGTGAATGAGCGCCAGAGAGCGTACAGGGTTGGCTTTAGAAGGATCGAAATCAGCATGCGATGTGAACATAATCACGATTACCGACCGTGCTATCATAGTAGTAATAGTCGCCCAGGACTGGTTTAATGGCCTCGGTGACTTCTGCCAGATTATCTGACAACCAGAAATCAGAGACGACGTTAATTGTCGGTCGCAAGGTAAGATGGGGGGTTACTCACAGAAAGGTATCCCAGAGAAGAAGTGGTGGGCAACGTGATCATGTGCGATCTGAGTAGCTAAATGTGTGAATGCACTATTCGACGGGCGAACCAGACTTACCCCGTGCCAGAAATAGCGACCGATCCAGCCAAAAATAGGCCTGTCTACAGTTGCTAGGGAGCCCCGCAAAAAAGTCCATTGGTTGTTCTATTGTTATTAGTATCTATCAGAAATGAGAGAAGAACATGAAAGCCAGTTGACGCACTCGGTAATACGGCACCGTTGGGTCACTATGCTGCAGATACGTGACCGTAACGATCCTGCATTCGTGAGACTTCAGCAGCCGGCTGACGGAACTGTGATTCAGACGTACCAATTGTGTGCCCACTAGCATGAGCAAGACTGGGTAAGCTCGAGGATGTAAACGTGCAAGACGGGACTCACGAGCCAGGGGACGAAATAGAGCCGCCATACGTTCGCCCAACTCGTCTGGCATATCCACAGAGCAAGGAGCAAAAGCATGGATGCAATCGCGATATCCGAGATGACGACATACTTCCCTGTGAAGGAGTTGTGTAAAATTTACAGCCATGGTACAGACCACGACGTACTTTCTTCAGGCCTGAAGAGCAGTGATGAAGGCTTGTAGTGCTATAGGAAAAATAAGAACAAAATGGCCTGCGAAAGAAACACACTGACACTGGTCCAGGGCGGATATTTGGGGTTCCCTTTTCGATTGTGACTGCAAAAAGGTTTGAGTTCGGTACACCGGCTTAAAATCGAAACGTCAATTACATCAAATATAGCTGGAAACCTCTGCATAGAATAATGAGCGATGTTAGCGTACATGTAGGGCTACTCACAGGAACTGACGAAGGACCATTTTGTACATGGTGAACAAGGGGGTCTCCTCTACGAGCTCCTCGTAGTCCATGAACTTTGCGAGATGTTCGGGGGGCAACTGGAGGTCGTCCCGAGTGGCAGGGTGATATGTCTCATCACGGTCCAAGTGGTTTGTGCCCTTCTACGGTGATAGTGAGCAGGAGAAAGACTGTCATGGAACGACACTCACGTGGTGGTGACGGTGTGTTGTGCGCCAGGAGAAGTAGGGGGTGAGGATAAAGGTATGAAGCAGAAGGCCGAGGGCGGCGTTGGCGGCGGGGACGGGGAAGAGGGCGTCGTGGCCACACTGCGCGCGCTAAGGATAAGAGAGAGGGATGTGAAGGAGGAAGACGCACTTCGTGGCCTACAAAGCATGGTCAGAAAAACCGATTCTCGATGACGGGATTAAACCCACCGAGCGTCCAGAATCCGGTCAGGACCACGCTCGCCCAGAACCAGTATCCTGCCCACAGCACCGTCCGCACTCCCGCCGTAGCCCCCGGGCCTTGGACGAGGAGCTCGACGAGGGCGTCCATGTGTGTCGCGAGTACACCCAGCCCAGCCGCCATCGCGACATGCCGCCCGACATACAGCAGGCTGCGGCCTGTGCTCTTCTCGAAGAGGTGTTTGGGTACCGCCGCATGCACCTCCCTCAGTGTCAGCGTCGGGGGTACAAACGCGGTCTTTGTGCGCGCGCAGTACTCGGGTGAATCTTGTACAAGGTGGGCCATGTCTGCAAGGAGAGGACACGGGGCCGGGTGTTACTTATCCTCCCCATTGCATGTGAATGACAGTCAATGTTCCGCTGGCTCGGCGCGGTCCTCACAAGCATTCATGAGAAATTCCTCAATGTTGGCACCAAACCTTGTCCGAGCCCATGTACTTTAGGGGCTTGACCACATTAAGCCTTCCCATACATTCCTCGGGCCAGGCAGCGGGACATCTTACCGAGTATGATCCTCGCGGAAATAGGCCACTTTCCATCGCCCATATCAGCCCGTGAATCGCAGTCCGACACCCTCGCTCGAAGCTCCAGCCTGTTCTGTCTCGCGAGGATACGGCGGAAGCGAGCGTGCGTCTGGCAGACACGGAGACCCGTGCTCATATATCACCCGCCAGTGCCCGGAGGGGGAGATTGCTTGTCAGGCGAGACAATGTCCGTTCAATCCTTGAGGTATGATGAACTTGTCATGAAATCAGCACGAGGGACTAGCCTGGGGTCGGTAAGATGCCTGTAGCCTGCCAGTGAGTGCACACGCACCAATTCGCCAGGATTCCGCGTAGGTGTATTCCACATGCTGTCAGCTGAGCCGCCATCCCACAGCCGCAGACACGCCAAACCGTAACGTGCACATTACGAACATGACGTTTGCAGGGCTCCAAATAAAAGAACTGCGGGCGGTGCACACGACCGTTCATGGGTAAACCGGAAGCGTGTGCAGACTCTCACAGTTGGCTGTGGGTCGCCCCTCTGCTGCAGACAAAAGATCCCATCTCGATCACCTCACGCCTCAAGCTCAAGATCGCATTTGGAAACTCTACATGCTTATCCGACTTGTACTCACAACATACATCATATACCAACCAACGCCGGGTGCATCACGACACCGCAAGTGCAGAGGTCCCAGTCACGACCCCATGTTCCAAGCAAAATAATCTATGAGTGCGAGCCGACTCGTAACATCCAGTCCTTATGACGTGTCCATGAACCTGTCTCTTCCTGCACTAGTGCTTTCAGTCGCTCCATAGAGAACGGCAGTGCTGGGTCAGCCCGCAGCGCCCACACGACGTATGATCTGTAGGACAGCGCAGTTAGAAAACAAGCAAAGTCAAAGATGCACCACCCCACACCGACTCACATGACAGTACTCCTGGCCAGCGGGTTCTCTTTGCTCCGGAGTAATTCACAGATCTCGTGCAGTGGTAACTCGTAATGGTGCCACAAGTTGTACGCTCGCAAGTGCTGAGGCCGTGGCGGAGCAGGCACATTGTCGATACCCGTGGCATAGGCCACCGAACGACCCCACGACGGCCCCGCATGAGGCCCGTTTTGGTGCGAGGATAAGGCAGTTGGCGTCGCCGAGGCCATGGACGACGTTTTCGAAACGGCGGAACCAGAGCCTGGAGCTGCTGCCGTCGAAGCAGGTTTCGCAGGACGTATACCGGAAATTCGACACGCATATGTTTCAGGCGTTAGGGTGCGTCCGTGCTTGTCCGCGATTTCCCTCAGCCGTCTGTACACAACAAAAGCACAATGCGCGTCGTTGGCCGAATCTGCCATCGTCGCCTTGTGGTGAGCGTTTACATAGCACAGGACCGGGGTGGGAAGCGTACAGGTGATCTGCTCCTCCGATAGCGGCGCATTCTCCCAATTCGAGATGCGCACCTCGCCCTTGTCGAGGGTGGTCTCTGTATAGTGTTCCACCATTCGGGCGAGGCTGACTACGTTCCGGTTGTACATCGACTTGAAGATCGGGTCGGCGCAATGTGCAAATGCACCGAGCTCCACGAGATTGGCCGCAAGGATACCATAGTCTCGGAAGAGTTTCTCCCCGTCGTCTGTAGTGTGATATAATAAGTTAAATAAAGCAGATATAGGAAGGAAGATGCACTAGCTTCGAATATTCGCCCCCGCTTTTACAATCGTGGGCGATTCGATGAGTTCCTATGGGCCACATTTAGGAAGAAGACGACACGGCGAAGACCGGCCATGTCAACTTACCTTGAGTTTTCGCGGGAACCCTGTAGAGGAAAATCCAGACATGCTCGAACGGTAGCGCGACCGACTTACGTTGCATTGCACTCACTTGGATGAGCAATATCATACGCTCATCAGACAGCTGCACGAGCGCAGTACGTCGTTGCATCGTGTGTTTATTCTGGCCCCACATAACACGCCACTCCATGTCAAATCCAAGCGGACTAACCAGCCCGTCAGCTAGGATCGCCTTCTGTAGACATTGATGCCTCACCTCTTTAATACCTGCACAAGCTCGTCGGCTTCCTCTTCGTGTCTAGTGTAAACAACGACAGGCTCCGGGATATAGGTCTTGTACGAATAGAGAGGTAGCATCGCATCTTTAGACTTGGCGTGAACTTTGGAGTTGTGTTCTACGAGAAGTTCTGAGATGGCGCCTGAAATGGTGGAAACTACAGGTCCCTTATTCGGCTTGGAGGGACGTTTGGGCCTACTTGGAAAATCTGAGGCCGGCTTCAGCCCGTGTCTTCCCTTCCCAGAGAAGTATGGGTGTGCTCTGCATGTGAGGGCGAGCTTGTTAGCTCATCAAAAAGCCTCGAGAGGGTATGCGTACGGTGCTGGAGCATCCAATAATTTTTTGTGTGCGCCCGTATGTGCTAATGTCCCAGCACTCCGCTCCGGGGCGGCCATAGCGTCCAAAGCGGCCAAGAGCTTCGAACCTCCCCTGGAAGATGGGGCTGATCGCTTGGATGGCGAATTGGGCGGGCTGAGACGACATAGCGAGCCTGAAAATCTCACTTCCTTGATGGCTTGCAAAGCCATGATTTGCGCTATGCACGGCGGCGCTATCAGTATAGACACTACCAGTCCACGGTTAATGAGTATTTGTTGCATGCTATATGGCTCGAACTGACCTAGCAATCCGTCAAAATAGGTCAATCTCAAGCATATGGCGATGAATAAAACACTCGTATAGATATGGGATAGGTAGGAAAGCAACACGAGTATGGATGGCCAGGTGAGCAATGAGCTCTTCAACAAACGACTGAGTCGTCCGTGCCAGGCCGTGGCGCGAGACGCGACGCGATCGAATATAGTCACGTGTTGTTCACATGGTGGCCACCGGCGCCAAATTGCTGTGAATCTGATCGACTTGCCGATATTTTACTCTGGCCAAACTCAAATCCTAAAAGCTGGTCTACCACTCCTTATAATTGCCTATAATTGGATTTTGCCATGGCAAACGTCGTCGAGCTGCAGGTTGTCCCTCCACCCCTTCCAGCATCCTGGACCCCTCCAACGAGCTCGGGCAAGCCCATCTCTCGTGAGCTGATCTCTATCTGCGTCCCACGGATCGTCCTGCTAAACTTGCACCGAAGCCTTGGTCGAACGACGGTTGCTGCCCGCAGGACCTGCATATCTCGCTCATGTCAAACGAGCCGTTCACAATCTCTCTTTTGAAGAACACGACAAACATGCGGAAGACGAGCGAAAGCGGCTCGAAGCGGTCAACGGAACGGGTGTTAACGGGGAAGACGATTTTGGTGTTGGCGATGAGGAGGAAACTGAGGATTTGCTCACCCTAGATCCTAAGGAATGGAAGGTATGTCCTCAATTCACACCTATTTGTTCGTATTCCTCGTGCTTATTTTCTCTATCACAGAAACAAGACCACTATGCTGTCCTTGGGCTGTCACATCTACGATACAGGGCCACGGATGAGCAGATCAAAATTGCTCGTACGTCGAATAATTTCTCGGTTTCTGCTGTGCAACTTACGCGCAGTAGATCGGAAGAAGGTGCTCAAGCACCATCCTGACAAAAAGGCGGGCCTCGCGGGAGATTCAAATGATGACGCCTTTTTCAAATGCATCCAGAAAGCGAATGAGGTTCTCACAAACGCAGAACGTCGCCGCCAGTTCGACTCTGTTGACCCGCATTATGATGCGTTAGAATCTGACGTGCCCACTGCATCGCAAATCAAAAACGCAAAAAACCCACAATCGTTCTTCTTCAAAGAATTTGCTCCAGTGTTCGAACGTGAGGCGCGGTTTAGCAAAGTTCAACCTGTGCCCATGTTGGGCTCTTACGACGATGCCAAGGATAAGGTTGAAGGATTCTACGACTTTTGGTACAAATTCGAGAGCTGGCGTAGCTTTGAATATCTAGACAAGGAGGTCAACGAGGGTAGTGACAAGTAAGCGACCTCTTTTTTATCCCACACGAGCTCGCATTTACCACCAACTGTTCAGCCGGGACGACAAGCGATACACGGAAAAGAAGAACAAGTCAGAGCGTGCTCGCCGCAAGAAAGAGGACACTGCACGTTTGCGTGGCATCGTCGATCTCGCCCTCCAAAACGACCCACGGATCAAGAGGATCAAACAAGAGGAGAAGGACGCTCGGGAAGCAAAGAAAAAGAGCAAGGGGGGCGTCAATGGCGTCGACCAGAAGCAGAAGCTAGAAGAGGAGAAGAAGAAAGCGGAGGAGGAGGCCAAGCGCAAGGAAGAGGAAGAGAAGGTGCTCAGAACTCTTCCCACACTATCATCAGCACAACCAGTCTGACTATGTTCTCCGTAGATTGCTCGCGCAGAAGCCAAAAAGGCGAAAGCCGCTGCAGCCAACGCTGCAAAAAAGGCCAGGCGACAGCAGCGGGCAGGAGAGGAGGGTGCTCCCGCCTAATCCCAGGCTCGTATCAATATCATGTTGCATTAGTCCCTCCCACATTATTTGCATAAATCTACTGTATGCTCCCCTGTGGCATTAGACTTTACATTCTCACTGCTAGATGTCCAGAAATTCAGATTTTTTGGAGTATCTGCGTCTCCATCGCTAGATCGCGAGCGCTTCGCATTCTCACAGTCTTGCAGTTTAGTCAACCAGCTGACTGATATTTGTACAAGGACTGCTTCTCGTTCCAAGTCAGTTTGGCGACGCTGACGTTACTTAATGTTCAACCCAAGAAGCTATGCGTACGTGATTTTGCATTCTCCCTTCACCTTGTCGGACTCCGCCGACACGGCACATCCACCACATGATGTTCCGCAATTTCGATCACAGCAGTCAAGTCACTTCCACACTTTGCAAGGTCTACACATCCGACCAGGTCAAGTTCCTCGTATGCCCCCAGATTCTGGCGGTTGCATCGCCAGCCTTCGCGGGCATATTCGCCTTCGCGCTGAGAGCAGGGATAGAGGCACCCGCCATCCAAGTGGAGGAGTATAGCGACACATGGGACCAGTTGATGTGCATTTGCTATCCCATGCCGAACCCGGAGATAAAGACACTTGACGAAGTGCGGCTGTTGATCGAGGCGGCGACGAAGTACAGCTTGGAGGTGGTCGTTGACTACCTCAGACGCGTTCTCGCTCTACCAAAGTTCGTTGAGGAGGCGCCACTCAGGGTGTATGCGATTGCTTGTATGCACGGGTTCGAGGGGGTCGGAAAGCACGCAGCGAAAATGACTTTCCGACAACCGATAGGTGGAGGCCAGGATGTCGCAGAGCTTGCGTATGTCTCGGGCATGGCATATCATCGCTTGTTGGAGTATCGCCTGAAGTGTCAAGAGGCCGTCAGTGCGCTCGCATCGAAAGCAAATTGGACCAGGTGGATCGATCGCTATGACTAGAAGCGGCAGACCGTTCCGGTATTCTTGCGATGCGACCACTGCTCAAATAGTCCAATATCTCAAAGCGTGATGAAATTCGATTTGGGATGGCGAAGTCAAGAATATAGACCGTCGAAACATTGGTTGGGCTATCTAGAAGAGGCGAGAAAGGCGCTAGTTACCCAACCGTACGGAGGGGTCATTGCCAGTCCTGCTCTAGTGGCACCTGTCATAAAGGAAGGATACAACTGCAAAATCTGCGCAACCTCCATATATATCGACATGATGCAGTTCGTTGATGTTTTTCAGACAGGCGTCGAGGAGACTGTCTCCCAGGTCAGTCACATTGCGCCGGATGCCTGATTATTTTGGTTTATGCTGCATTATGCCCACTAGATTCCGTTGGAAATAACACGATGACACCGTTGAAGAGCGTAATCCACGGAGAATTGCTCTGGACAGTCGAGGCGAAAATAATGCCCGCGCAAATGAAAAATCATTTTATTACCGGACCATTCACCTCACATTGCGGAAAATATGTTGGTATCCATGGAATAAAATACGATTGTATTGTAGATAATGGGTTTTGAATTGGGTGAGATATGGAGGACTCGATCTAACACTACGTAAACTTTTGTCCGTCACTGTACGCGCTCTATGAACGGCAGAATTTACCGTGTCCACAAATATCACTTCATGGAATAATCAGTTGTTCCCTGACGGTGACACCAAATGCCGTATCCCGGGAAAGACATTGTCTTAGTTCCGGGAGATTCGAACCGCTGCCAGCTTTGATGAACGTCGGTGAGAACAAATGCTGAAGATGGAAGTGGGCGCGTATTGACCTTGGTATCCACTTGTTCCTGCCCCGCTCCTTACTCTTGACCATGTTCGTCCTCTCAATTGCATTCTGATTGGACATTTTTCGAAATGAAGATTTAGCTCACGCTACTATGTCAGACGAATCTGCGCTCCTTGCTCGGTATGCATGTCTACATCCCTGTGCTCTTGCCGCTAAGTCTTGCGCAGAGAGGCCAAGGGCCTGCAGCAAAGTCTGAAGGAGTTGCTGAAGACCCGAGATGCATGGGATAGAGAAATCGAATTTCAGAGGAAGAGGTGTGAATATTCCCCGTCTCCTTCATACAATTGCTGATCCTCCACAGTCTCAGGCGACAATACCTCCGCTTGCTATTCGTACACCCTTACGCTCCAGAGTCAAAAGATGTTGACAACCATCTTTGGATGGCCACATCGTACCAGTTCATATCTAGATATAAGGAGCGGCTTACCCAGCTTGACAGGATAATCCATGGACCTCCTCGGCAACAGCAACAGCAGCAGGCATCTCGATCTCATAACGGACAGCACCGCGATGTCGAATATCGCAAGCTCCTTCAACGTTTCCGCCAATTTCTAGCCGAAGAGGAGAAGTTTTGGGTCCAGTTGATCGTTCGCATACGTCGCGTATTCGCCCTCGATGACGCCCAACGCGCGCTCGCTGCGCTCAGCATCGTCCCTCCTGAGGGGACACCTACATCGCCCACTGCTCCCGACAATGGCAATGCGAGGCGAAATCAACATCAGTTTCCTTCTGAGGCTGATGTGGTATCGCCTACTGCCGTAGCAGCGACGGCTGAACAGCGCCAGAGCAAGATGGCCATCTTAAGCAAAGCGCTTGTATGCTTAGGAGATATTGAGCGGTATAAGGAACAATACAACGAGACAGGAAATAGACCTCGTGCAGGTCACGAAGACGGCCCGCCAGCTGCTTCAGGTTCTGGTAGAGGGCGAGGCAGAAGGGGTGGCGCAGCAGCCGCCCAGTCCCTTATGCCTCGGATGCGAAACTATGACAAGGCACAACAGTGCTACGAGCAAGCGCGGTTACTACTTCCCCAAGATGGTAACCCCTCTCACCAGCTCGCCATTCTGGCCACGTACCAGAAGGATACCTTCAATTCGCTGGTGCATTACTATCGCGCCCTTTGCGTTCGCACACCGTACGAGACGGCGTCGGAGAACATGGGTATGACCCTCGGCAAAGCCCTGGATGCTTGGCGAGGTAAAGGTGAAAATGTTGCAGAGAAAGCAGAGATAGATCACTCGGAGCCCCCTCGACTGAGGATAAAAGCTTTCACGGAAAAATTGGTCATCCTGCATGCATTGTGGCGGTTACCTACCGAGGAGTAAGTCAAACTTGCGCATCCGGATGTTGGACGTATTCTAATATTGTTTGGTAGTGCGGGCATTCCGCTTCCGGACCTATCTCGAACAGTCGTCTCGGATTTCAAGGCGTTGGTTTTCAAACGTGACTTGCCAATCGACATGATCTCGAAGGTCATCATTCTCTCGCAAGGCGCTTTGTGGAATAACCGATCGGCTCGCCATTCATCTGCAAACGGCGCGCCTGGGAGGAGGGGGCCTCCAGTTCCTGCTGGTACTGGGACTGAATCTAGTATTGCCACCCATTTACTTGCTCTACATCGCGCACTTCTTGAAGTCGCCAGCGAAGAAATCAAGGAAGCATCTTTGGAGAACACGAACGATCAAGATCTCGCGCAGCGCATCACGGCAACGTTTCGTAGAACGCTACCTGCTCTACGTCTTGCAGGCAAATGGATACGTGGGAATACGAAGTATATTTCGCAAGCCTCGTCGCTCCTTAGAGAGCAACAAATTGACACACTGGGGGACACAGATACAAAGAGCCCGAACTCGAGAAGACGAGTGCGGACGAGACGAGTCGCTAAGCCGCCAATATCTATCTTGGGTGTGCGCGAGTTCTGGGAGTCGTTTGTGAAGTTTTCAAACACCCTTACGCGTGCCTTTCCATTTGAGAAGCTGCCTGTCCTTGGTTCCCCATTGGAAGAAGATATGGAGATGTCGGGGTTTTTACCGTTACGGGCGCTCATGGTCGGGGATGTATTGGTGGGGAATTCGGGAAGAAGTGCCACAAACGTCGTCGCTCAGGTGCGCGAGGAGGTGCATCCGAATGAAGAGCAGTTGATGAGGATCAGGGATATCCTCGCGGACACTCGAGCGCTGGCAGATGCTGAGGTGTGTCGCAAGATTTTGAGACAAGCGATAGACTTACGCGTGATGCGTGGTACTTTTAGGAGACTCCATTTGTCTTTACGGACAATGAGTTCATGCTTAGGGATGATCGCCTGAGCGACCTTGAGACAGCACCAACGACGGTTGATTCACCCAATCACCGAATTCAGATGTCTCGGTCTGGAAGCCCAGATCCTTTGGTCGCTGAGATTGCGGGAGGAGACCCAGAAACTCTAGACCTCGAAGATGGCAGTGCTACGGAGACTTCACGCACTGAGTATGATCCTGTGGATGCCGCTTTCCGCGAGGTTTTGGAACAATCCAACGAAAGTGATGAGGAAGAAGATGAAATTGTGTGGAATCCGAGGTATGTCTAGGACTTGTATATTATCTATAGAGCTCATTATTATTTCGTAGATCGTCCATTCAACCTCAAGTTTCCAGCCCTCCGCTTCCGCACGGTACTCCTCGTTTGGTCGCGCCTAACTCACCTCCCTTCCAACATCGAACACCACCTGTAGCGAACAAATCACTCGAATTGACCGCAGGAGCTCTATTGAAAGAACTGCAAGGCCCGAGTCATTCGCGAGTCTCATCTGCTCCACAGGCGCTCCTATTTGGATCTAGTCCCTCCGGTGGTCATAGCTCAATATGGTCGACTACTAGTAGCAGCGATCCTCTGAATTACTCCAAGCCTGGGCTTCCATTGTATCAATCTCAGCCATCATTCGGCTTTTCTCAAGGATCATCGTCTTACCAGAACTCACAAGGCCGAAACGTCACATTGCCTCGTCTACCGTCTCCGCAGACCAGTTCGATCTGGAACGGTGGCCACCAACGTATCGGTTCCTTAGGTCGCATTCAGGGACTTCCTAGCCCTGGGTTCAGTCATCAGCAGCAACACTACGGATCCTCTACCACTTTCCTGCCGCCTGCAGACCCATCCAGCTCCCCATTCAACAATGGTGTACCATCAGCTTACGCGGATCCAGTCTACACGGCCTCTCCTCATGCTATGCTCCAGACGCAGTATCCGCCTGGCTATCATCATCCTGTTCATCACTCGCGCATCCCAAGTGCCGAGACAGGTCTCCAGGTCCCAATGTCATCACTTACTTCAGCATCGCAGCTGTGGCTAAATCCCGGATAATGAACAACTTCTGCATCTGATCTAGGACTCAATACTGCATTTCTGCGCGTCGATGGTCACTGCATTCACGACCAGCAAAGAGATCAATCTCGATGAGGGCATTGTTCTCTCCATCCTCGATTTCATCCGTCCAATTTTTATGGGGCATGCATATGTTATGACTTATGACAAGGTGTTCTGCTGAGGCTCAGACGATCGCTTCATTCGTCATGCGCGCCCACGCTTGCCTGATATTTACTACAGGCATTCTCGCCCAGTGACTATAGGGCATATTAGGCGCATATCGGACTTGACCGTACTGGATGTACAGTCGATCTTCTTGGTTTGCTTCTGCATGGACGATATAGCTCTTCGAACCCGTATATGCCCTGTTCCTACTGTTGTGCTTTCGCGATTTTGATTCTTGTAGTTTCCATGTATTTCTCAGTCGGCGTCGTCTGGGTCCCTGGAGGGGAGCTGGGGATATGTATGTATGCATTGATAGTGTTCTTGACAATTACTGAGGCGTGCTATGTTTATAACGTCGGATGATTCGTGTCGAATTCGTGATAAACAAGATGTCGTTACAGCTATGAAGGCTGGTCAAATCGTAGAATGAAGGTAAGGCAAACTATCATCTATGTGAGTACATTCAATCTGTAAATCGATAACAAGAAAGCAGAGTGATCATATAGCAATGCATGTAAAACATTAGCGTGAGATGCATTTAGTCGTCGTCATCGTCGTCATCATGTCCCGAACCGAACAGGGCCACAAGGTCCTCAGCACCGAGACGCATGTTCTTGAGCTTGTCGCCCGAGAGAGCTGCTTTCGCAAGTTCCCTCTTTCTATCTTGTAGCTAGTCCAGCGACATCGTTCAACTCTGCTTTCAGCCGATAACAAGAGAGTAACATACCTCGAGAATCTTCTGTTCGACTGTGTCTGGCACGCAAAGCTTGCGTATATGGACGTTGCGAGTTTGGCCAAAACGATGAGCCCGGTCGAAGGCCTGGTCCTAACCATGGTGTAAACATCATAGATCCCTTGCGACCATAAGGAAGCACTGACCTCGAGCGCCGGATTCCACCACAGATCCACAAGGATAACGTTGTTGCAGCACGTCAAGTTCAGTCCTATCGCACTCAGCTCAGATAGAGCTGCAAGAATCAGATTGCAGCAAACCTACCGGTTGATCCTGCCTTGAATGAGATGAGGATCACTTTAGTCCTGGCATTTTCCTTGATACTTTCTAGTGCGATCTCTCTGTGAGGTTTCGTCATCGATCCATCGTCTATTGACGGCGTCAGTATAACACCACAGCCAAACGCAGCTGCAACGTACATCGCACGAATCTAATACCCTCAGCTCGAAGGAAGGGCTCAATGATGTCGAGCATAGAAGTGAACTGAGAAAAGATTATAGTCTTCTCCGTTCCCTCGGAACGTTCGTCGATGTCCCTGAGGATCTCCAGGATTTTTCGGGTTTTAGTGGAATCTGGGGGAAGATCTGAGTCGGGGCCCCGACTCGAGCGGCGAGCTTTCACCACAACTTCGGCACAATCGGCACATGTGTTATGGTCGGATGTATTCGAAGATGTCAACCTGTCGAATAGGTTTCAGCCATCATGTACCCTTGAGTAAATGTCACTCTTACTCTGTCTGGCAGAGCTGACAACGCCTGATCTGTGATAGACCCATGCCAGCCAACTGATCAGCGAGATCATCCGCGTCTTCATCTCCATCCTGGCTTTTCGCAGCCCTGGGCTCAACCGCCTCTTTGTCCCTTCGGTAATCTTCAGACACAAGGGTCGGATGATTACAAGCTACAGAAAACGTTCAAACGATGAGGTTACAAACGAGAAGGGACAACCTTCATATGCCACCTACTTTGCCTGAGACGAAGGAGCAGAACGAGCATCGACGTATAGTTCTTCGCGACACCGCCTTGCTGTTGCAATTTCTCTAGGCTCGTCTGAACTCTCGCATTAATCGTCTCATAGAACGCCCGCTCGTCTGCTTCAAACACACAATCGACAACTTCGACCTTTCGATCGGGTAGTTGTAGGATAGGCTTGCCGTTGATCAAAGTGTCCTTTGTACGCCTGAGCATGGTAGCACTTAAAACGACCTGGAAAAGCGAGGTAAGATCGGCTAAGAATCCAGAATTCTAATAAGCACTGCACCTGCAATCGCTTCATTGCCCTAGTCGTCTTGCCTGCTTTGACTGGCTGAGCGATCTGTTCTCGGAAGGTTGGCCAGTCATTCAGGGGGCGCACACGAAGAAACTTGAAGAGCGAGTACAGCTCCTCCACGCTGTTTTGCCTGTAAAATTGTAATTGTCAATATTCCATAGAAACATCCATAGTGAGGGTTTACATGGGTGTCCCTGTGAGGCACCAGCGGTATTTCGCATGCAATGCACAGCACGCCTGCGCCGCCTTCGTATTGCGATTCTTGATATTATGTGCTTCGTCTAAGCAAATGTTACTACCACGCTCTTCTAGAGATCGTGAAGGTGCGCAAGACTCACCCAACACAACTCGGTACCACTTCACGCGGAAAAGGGCGTCCTTCGATTTTTTGCTTGACCCACCACGCTTTGACTTTTCCAGAATCTTGCCGATGCTGTCAGAATCAGAATCATCGGAGACTTGGCTCTGTGATTTCGCAGTCTTCTTGGAGTTGCTCTTGTCTGCAGCTGGATTATATGCACCGTACTCTGATGCGATAGTCTGATAAGACGTGATGACAACATGTGCACGCTCTAGCTGCGACGGGTCTATCAAGCATAAATTGTCATTTGATGAGTCATGTGTGATAGAGGCACACTAACCACTTGCGCGCGAGGGTCCATGATGTTCTACCACGGTTAAACCAATTGCTATCTTTTGTATCTCGCTGGCCCACTGTGAGACAACCGCCACAGGACAGGCCACTCTGTAATAGTAGATTAGAAAAGTGATAGGCAACAAATCACAAAACTTACAGAGTAGCTCGCGCGTATCCATCCGCCTTGTCCTTCTTACTTATACGACCGTCCACGATCCGCGTAATTGTCTGGATTGTTTTACCTAATCTGATGAGTTACCATTAGTACTGTTGTTCTATCATTGAGTACAACCAATTCTACCCCATATCGTCTGCGAGGATCCCGCCCATCTTCTTTCCAGATTCACGAGAGGCCATCCATTTGCGACTTGCAATCTGATGTGTTAATAATTTAATTCCCGGCCTGAATCCTTCGACCTCTGCATCTTCCATCGATATTTCTACATCCTCTTCGTGACCGTATGCACCTGTCACTAGTTCACGCAAGGCTTTCTCTGCATCAGCCTGAGACATGGGTGGGTCATACATGTTATCAACAGCTGGCATGTCGAATGTTTCATAATTGTGTTCTGGAGCAGATCGGGACACCGGGAGGTCTTTGTTGGAAGGAACACGGATTGGCGTTGCCCTTTTGGGCTTTGATGGGACGTTATTCGAAGCATTGGGCCCTGACGTGTTAGGTGGAAAAGAGCGTAGCGGCTGAGGGCTGTAACGGCTTACACTTAGCAAGAATGGAGCATCTTGGCTACAACTGCATAACATACGCTGAAACAATCTCGGGCTCGTCATCCTCCGAGTCTGACAATACAATCATCGGTGCTGTCACTCTGGGCTTAAATTGCGGAGGTGCACTCGATTCTGAAGAAGTCGAAGCAATAGACTGGTTTCTAAAGTCAACGTGGCTCCTCCGAAGGCCTTGGGCAAACAGTACTTACAATGGCGGACGCCGGTGCCGCATGCTTAGCGCGCTCCCTGATGGCGGTCACATCCGGATACATGTTGCCGCCAGCATCCCCCTCCATGAGTTTTCGTCGCCTATGGAAAGAGTCAGCGCGTGAAACGATAATGAGTAGCATCGGTGGCCCTTTCACGGGGTGGCACGATACAGATTCCGTTGACACTGAACGGCGATCGAGGCTACTGTTTGCACATCCCACAGGTAATACTTACATAGCTTCCATGTCTGGCCAGTGATATTCAAGAGGTCGATGACGGCAAGAGAAAGGTGAAAGTTCACCTTTAAGATGGAACACGAACCGCGTCGCCACATATTAGGACGCGTTTTATTCCACGTGACGATGGGTATGTGCGTGACCGTGATTTGATTGGCTGGCAACTTCTACAAGGACTTGCGTTTGCGTACAACTGGAAAACACAAGGTGATATATCATTTCCCCCGCACACAGAACAGGGAACGGTAACATTCCTCGTTACTAGTAGCTGCGACGGAGGTAAGCCAGGCCCAGGTCTCAGCTTGTCCGGTAATACAAGGACACTGCAACGCAACAATGACACTATTTAATAACCAACTCGCACAACATTCATGTCGTCCTGCAGCTACAACAGTACCTAGCCCGAACCAACTAGCTTGGCATTGCGCGCGCAACCCAGCTCCTGCCGAATATCAAGAAAGAATAAAAGACTGCCAACACCCTCTTGTAGACAGGCAGCCGAGTCAGAATCAAACATCTCAAACATCGCAGCTCGCCAATCATTGCCCGGTCTCTTCTATACAGTCGTCCGCTATCTACATAGTAGTCCAAGTGAAGCTCAGCATGCGACCGTCGTGCGAGGGCGGAATGTAAACTGGTCCATTTTCCAAAACCACATCATTCTGGCTTGTCCTGCACTTTTCCTTTCTCCACATCCTCGAGAGGGGCGTGCCCATATCCGTGTCCATTTGCTGGTTTGGCAGCTGGCTGCGATTCAAGGTGTTTAATCCAGGTATAATATATCGATCCAAGCAGAATGATTCCTATTGATGAGGCACGACCGCTGTCGTGGTGTGAGAACGAATTCTCAGTAGGGAATGAAGGCTGCAATGACTTACGTTGTGATAACCTCATTGAAAAACTGCATACCCAAAAGCGAGGCTGCTACACCACGCACAGCAGAGGACACCATGTGCGTAATGGGTGAGGTGACCTTTACTGAGAGCAAGCTCGCGATGCTCATTAAGAAGCCAAAGGCACCCTATGGTGAATCAGTTAAAATAACATGTACGGAGTGCTACCCTGGACTTACAGTGATGGCTGAACCGATTATAAAGGTTGTCAAAGTACTCGTCTCTCCGGGAGCGGCTTGATTGGGCCCGAAGAGCAATGTCATGACGCCCGGAAGCTCACCCATCAAGACGAGAACTGGAGCGAGAACAAGGGCGCTGAGTAGATTTGTGTACCACGACAAGTGCAACGTGCTGCCATGCACAACATCCAAGGATTTTTTGATGGTGACGGAGTGAGTAGCGGTAATTACGGAGCTGACTACGCCGCATGCGACGCCGAGGGCAGAGACTGATGTGCCATCGAGGAATACTCCAATGAAGAACCCAGAAGTGACGATTGAACATGCAAGAAGTATACGCAGCGAGGGCCTTGCGTAGAGGAGAAAGTAGGAAGCCGCAACTGTGAATGGTAGCACCATGCCTCGCGCCACTGCATAAAAAGACGCATCGACAAGTTGCAGTGTGTAATTGCTGAAGCTGTGTCAAAGTACTCAACAGGCAGAACAACGAAAAATCCAAACCTCCCGAACGTACCTCAGGCCTAAGATATTTAGACCAACCATGGGCACAAGTCCCTTACAGACCTGCATGTCTAGCCGTAATGGCAACTGCACAAGCCCCAGCATGTGCGCCACAAGGAAAAGTATGACAGCGATAAAGAGCTGCGCATCGAGGAAGAACAAAGGGACTTTTGTGCTATTGAGTACCCACTTGTTCCTGCAAGGAATATTTCATGCCAGGACATAGGAAGTAGGAAACAGGTAACGCACGCCATGACCATCTGTATGCCAATGAATTCGTCGATAACAGGAACTTAATGATGACACATACCGAGAGCGCAGCGACAAGATAGAACAGGACAGTCCCTATCTAAAGTGACAATGAATACTTGTGAGCAGAGCAGCTTATGCGACTGACGACGAGGGTCCTGGAGGGCGCAGGTTGGTGACTGTGGTGCGACATGGCGACTTGAGCTGGTATCACTGCGCTATGAATCTAAACAGGAAATGCGTAGGCTCTGAGAGAGAACAATCGGGTTCTGTCACTGCAGAAATCTTAGGGTTTGGACGTGAAGCTGGCAGGAACAACTTGCAATTGGTGGTATGCCAGTTTGGGGCATGCGCTGTGTGCACAGAACGGCACCAATCGGCAACAAGAGCGATATCGCGGGCCTGCGCTTGCCAGAAACTAGACAGATTAGACGGATATTCCAAGGACAGCGAGAGACGGACAGCGAGAGACGATAACGAGGGAGATGTGAGCGTGTCACCAGAGTCTGCGGTGCAGGCGTCTGACAATTCTGAGCGGCCTTCCTTTCTGGGCCACCTCAAACGGCGTATGCCGCAAAGAGCAGACACGAGTCACGCGCCGCGACGCGTCCCATTCAATTCGCTCCGCTGCCACTGTCCAGTGGCGTCCACCACCGACGCGTCAAGTCAACGAGCAGCACGCTTTCCACCACCATGGACTCCGACAACGACCAAGACGCTGTGCTCCCGCCGCCAACCATCAGGAATGCATGTAAATGAGTCTCGGAACACCGTGTCACTTCTGCAGCTTGCTTACCCCGTTGCGATTAGTCTCGGACGACACAATTCGTATAATGCTCGCGACAGACAATCACATTGGTTACCTCGAGAGGGACCCAATTCGGGGACAGGACTCGATCAACACTTTCCGCGAAATCCTTAAGCTTGCAGTGAAACATGATGTGAGTACCATCGGCTCCGAACAGGCAAACTCACGTTTTCATTATGTACACATACTTATCCGCACCTGCACCATTGTCCTTATATGCGCGTACCATAGGTTGACTTCATTCTTTTGGCTGGTGATCTATTTCACGAAAACAGGCCAACAAGAGATTGCCTCTATCAGACCATGGCACTCCTAAGGGAGTATACCTTGGGCGACCGACCCATCCAGATCGAACTTCTTAGCGATCCAAACGATGGTAAGGCGTCCGGATTCTCGTATGTGTACTTCTTCTCAGGTGGACGGACCTCTCATTTTCTTCTCGCACTTAGGTTTCCTGCAGTAAACTACGAGGACCCTAACTTTAACATCGCTATTCCTGTCTTTTCTATTCACGGCAACCACGACGACCCTCAGGGAGCTGGTCCCGTGAGTTTGTCTTGGTATCTCCTATGTTTCGGCGATGATATTGGCCTTCTCATAGGAAGGAGCTCTCTGTGCCCTTGACATGCTGTCCGTCAGCGGGTTGATAAACTACATGGGGAAGATTGATCTCCCTCTCAATGATTCTGATGCACAAGACAATGGGATCGCAATCCGTCCAGTTCTCCTGCGCAAAGGCAATACGCGCCTCGGTATGTACGGCGTTGGAAATGTCAAGGATCAACGCATGCACTTTGAGCTGCGCAGCAATCGCGTGCGCATGTTCATGCCCCGTGATAAGGATGACTGGTTCAATATTCTGCTGCTGCATCAAAACCGGCAAGTGTTTGGACTGCAGTTTAATTTATGACACCACTAAATTATTGCAGTGTGCCACATGGACCACAACAGTCTGTCCCTGAAGGGATGTTTGATGACAGCGTCGACTTAGTTGTTTGGGGCCACGAACACGACTGCCGCATAGTGCCAGAATCCGTAGCTGGAAAGAAGTACTTCATTTCGCAGCCTGGATCATCTGTGGCTACTTCCCTCGCCGATGGTGAATCAATAGAGAAGTATGTCGTATTAGGAAGGGACTGAAGGTCCCAGGTTGATCTACTAATAATCTAGGCATGTGGCACTTTTGAAGATCCAGGGCAAGGAGTTCGAGTTGACGCCGATTCCACTACGGACGGTGCGCCCATTCGTGCTCGACGAAGTGGTCCTTAGCGAAATAGCGGAAGAGGAGAACATAGACCTTAGCGATCGGATGGAAATTACCAAATTTTTGAAAGCGAGGGTACGTTGGCCTTTCATGACACACGGTGGTCCTTCTCAGGCTATCGTTCAGGTGAATGAGTTGATTGAGAAAGCCAATGTACTCTGGGATGAGCGGAACGCACGGGCTGTTGAGGATGGAGAAGTAGAATTGCCTCGCATGCTACCTATTGTTCGTCTCAAGGTGAACAATACAGCGATCCCTTCAGGAGGTCGGCTAACTGTCATTACTTGCGCGGTAGGTGGATACTACGGGTGTTAGCGAGATGTCGAATCCGGTTCGTTTTGGCCAAGAATTCCAAGGGCGTCTTGCGAACCCCCGCGACGTGCTTGTCTTTCATCGGGCCAAGGCAACGGCGCGCCGCGGCGCAAAGGTGGTGGTTGACCAGCCAGAACTAAGCATTGATGACCCGGATCTCACAGTTGCGGAGAAACTGTCCAAAGTGCGAGTGCAGACTCTCGTGAGAGAGTATCTTGCGGCACAGGAACTGCAGTTGCTTGGTGAGACAGGAATGTCAGATGCGATTGAGACCTTCGTGGATAAAGATGATATTCATGCCATTCAGACGTACGTTCCAGTCCAGATGTCGACAACAAATGCTTTGACCATCATCATTACCGCAGTCATGTAAGCCAGGCGTTGAAGTCGCTCATGAAAGGCGTACAATCCAATGGCGATGAGATTGAGGAGGATGATCTTGACGATATTGTACGTTATCTCTTAATTATTTGAACAGGTTGGGACACGCCTCTTTACAGGTGGAGAAGGTAAGGGAAAGACACAACCAAGAGTATATCGAGAAGAGGCAGGACGGAAGATCTTCTAAGTCAAAGGTATGTGGACCTTGTGTACATTTGATCGTTGCAGACCACGTTCACAGGGCAAGACCAAAGCTAAGGGTGACGAATCGGATGCATCTGCGGATTCAATGTTGATGGACATTGACGGGGCTGGGTCCGACTTTGAAGAGCCAGAGTCTGACGAACAACCTAAGAAAAAGACAAGGGCTGCACCCAAACGAGCTGCCCCTGCCAAGAGAGCACCTGCGAAGGGACGAGGCAAAAAGAAAGTGGTGAGTCTGCGGCTGTGTCTAGGCCAGGTCTGCTGTTGAACTAGTGGCTTTGCAGGCTGAGTCTGACGATGAGGATAAAATCGAGGACGACGACGACATTGAAGAGGAGGCACCTAAGCCGAAAAGAACAAATCGGGCTGCTGTCCTCAGGTACGTGCCGTGCAGCATCTGACATGTAGTAATTCTGAGCCATTCCTTAGTCAAACCACATCAAAGAAGGCGCCTGCCAAAAAGGCAGCTAGCGGAAAACAGGCGACATTGAGTTTTGCACCATCAGGTCGAACGTCGACGAGAGCGGCTGCTTCGCGGGCTGCTCGCAAAGTAGCGGAGGTGGTGAGTGTGCTCCGGACCGAAAGTCTGGAAAGGCAAGGCTGATATTAGATTTGAAACGCACAGGTGGAGTTAGACAGCGACTGAATATTTCCGGGGGTCGGCGATGAGCTGGCTTGGTGTAGGTTTGTATTCCGTTTGTGCATTCTTGTTTCGCCGAAATACAATTGCGGCAAGTCAGCGGGCCGCCTATGGGCAGGGAGAGACGATGCAGCTGTGTGTTATGGACCTGGACTCTGTGCTTCATACTCGAGGGATGAGACAGACGGAGACTGTATATAGGATGCGGATCTTTTGAAACGATGCTTGAACGTGGACTCGGATGATCTTCCCATGTTCTGATCATCGAGCGGAAGCAAAAGCCCGATGCTGACTGAATGCAAGTTCCCAGCAAACGCTCCTCCCTACTTACTAATAAGTTATCGATGAGGGTCTGCCTTCCAGACTACTGCCACTGAGATGGCTCTCTCTCTCGTCCCCATCGAGCTCCTACTCGAGATCCTCTCTCTTGCTCTCGACCAGCATCCATGTCCCTCCAACATTCTGTCCGTCGACAAATCTTTCGCAGCGCTCGGAGGTCGTGTTCTATACTCCCATTTGCACTTCCGCACAGTCCGCCAGCTCATCCTCTTCTCGGAGCAGACTGCTCGCCCCGCATGTTTGCCAAAGAGCATCGTATTGGCTCTTGCGGGGGGTATGGCTAATTTCGACATCTTCCTTCATCTGGCTGCTGTTCTTCGTCGCTGTCAGACGGTGGTAGTATCCCCTCAACCAGACATTCATCCCCAGGTTCCACTCGACCTTCTCTCCCTCTGTCTACACTCCCACACTCGGAATCCCAACTTACATAACATATACGAGGCGTTGACAATGGCAGAGTGAGCGTCAACTCTAAAGATTTATGGCCATGTTCTAACGAAATCATGAATGTAGTCCAAAGACATTTATCTGGACAGGGCCTGACCCCGAGCATCATTTCTCCACCGCGGTATGTACAAACCCTCCAGGCATTCTGCGGTGACATGACATCATGTCCGTTCTTGCGGTTCCAGATTGTCCCCGCCGCTACGTTCTACCTGTTCAGAGCCATACGAACTTGGTCGAACATCGCCCACATCACACTCACGAACCTCTCCTTCCCTTCCGACGATCTCGGCATCCATGCACCGCTATCACGCAACATGCCCCTCCTGCCTGCCATTCCGACCTTACGAACCCTGACGCTTGGTCAGGCAACACTCCTGCCCCCTAGTGCTGTGGCCGCGATGATATGTCTACCGGGACAAGAAGGACTGGAAATGGTGCGCCTCATTGACGCGTACAGCGAAAGTATATGGGGTCCCAGAATTAGGCGAAGGGACGTCGAGAAAGCCGCAGTAATGCAGAGCAGAGCGAGGCGGGAGGATACGATCGTACTCATCAGACGTATCGTTAGGTGTGAAGCCAGGACAGAGCGGACTATGGGCGGCGACCGTGCTGAAGAGAGCGACAATTTCATTTTAGAATGAATCCTGTTAGTTATCCCCCTACGTGAGTCCCTCGTGTGTTGATGGTAACAAGCCTATTTGCTCCAATTCTGCCCTTAACATGTACTACTACTGTATATCAGCTACATTTTGACGCGAGCAGAAAACTATGTCCGTATACTGCTTGAGTGTCGATCACATACCACTCCATTGCTGTCCTGAAAATCCACCTGGTTGGCCAGCTTGCCACCCGGCAAATGGGTTTCCTGGAGGGTACGTCTGGGGGTGACCGAAAGGAGCTGATGGCGTGGCATTGTACTGTGGTTGCATCTGGACACCGAACTGTGCCTGTCCCTGCTGTGTTTGCATGAACGGGTTCGAGGCCGTGGACATGGGGGATTGCATTTGCATTTGTGTAGGTTGCGGTAGGGATTGCGCGTGAAACAGCGGTGATGGCCGTGGCTGGATAGGTTGCTGCTGGCCTGTCTGACCAAAAGGAGCTGATTGTGCAAGGAAGTAGGGTTGCTGCTGCCCCAATGGTGTGGCACCACTTCCCATGCCTATATTACTACCAATACTCCCTGGTGCGAAAGACGTGAACGGATTAGAATTAGACACTGGCGTCGAAGTAGAAAGTGGGGCTGAGAAGCCGAGTCCAGTCTGGGCTGTTGTGAAAGATGCGGGACCACTAGGACTAGCGACACCTAGGCCCGCATTCCCACCCATACCCATGCTAGAGCTGAATGCTAGCCCCGAATTCAAACTCATACTACGTCCGACACTTCCGGGAGGGGCGGCTGACATTGGGCCCGTTGATAGCGAAGAAGGAAATGGAGAACTGGGGCTTGCCGAAAGGGCGCTGTAAGGATTTGTCGGGTGGGAGAATGAAGCGCTCGAGGGTTGGATAGACGATGCGAGTGAAGTGGAGGGTGTAGGTGCCGGGAACACACCTGGAGCCTGTGAGAGCGATGGTGATTGCAAGGACATAAGACTATTCCATGTAGGGGTACCGCCTGCCAACTGCTGCTGAGGCGGATTCTGAGTTAGCTGCTGGGGCGCGAAGGTCGGTGGGGGCGCGGGTACTGGTTGCGATGCCGATCGCATTTGTGACTGTCCAGGATTGAATGAACCTGAAAAGGTTGCAGGGGCAGGTATAGGTGTCTTAGGTGGGACTGGTGGACCAGGAGAAGACGTTGTCGGGGCTGGGTTCGGTACAGGTGCGGTCTGCGAGCGAAGAGGGGGAATAGGGAGCTTGTCGGATGTCGACGATGATGATGCCGGAGCTGGGGCATGGAGTGTAGCCTTCATGAATAGCTTGAACTCATACTTAGCTAAGGCATGCGTAATCAGTTGAATTCACGCCATGATAGGGACGTGTACAAACATCGAATGAACTTCTCAAGATCACTGTCTCGCTCGGAATCAATCATATTTGTTGGTGGTGGATGTCGGGTCTCGTTTGGATTGTACTGCAAATTTGACCTGATGTTTCCAATATTTTTCATGATCTGAATAGACATTTATTGATTATGCTGGCTAAGACCTGCAAAGCCTCCTTTGCGAAAGCACTTACTTCAACCTGCTCCTTAGTCCACATGTCCATAGTCAGACTCTTCCTGGAAAACGGGGTCAGTATGAAAGGTGGTAGATGGAGAACAGATCGTACACTTTAGATATGTGCGTCCCCATCTTACGATGTATACCGGCGCAGTTCATGCTAAGCGAAATAACAAAAAAAAAACATCAGATCGTCAATGCACGATACAATACAACGGACATACCAGATAAATATACCCAAGTTATGGGACGCCCATCGTGGATTTCTCGCCTTGCAGTCTGCACAGACATCTGCAAATCCGGGATATGAGTAGGTGAACTGATGCGTTCACCGGGACCGCTCGCCGTTTCCAGATTGGCTTGCGAGCTGAAGGAGTGCCCGCTGGGTCCGCTCGGAAGCCATCTTGTTCATTCCCGACATCTCGAGATGCGTCACTTGGATACGAGCTCAGTTGGAGTTGACGATCCTGCAGCAGTGATAGTACTAGTAGCGACCAAGTTGTGTGACGTGATTGCCGCTTCGGGTAGCTGTTCGGTGTGGGCGGAATTGTGGCTGACGGAATCCCTCTTGCCCGCCGCCATCGCAGACCCGGGGAGCTCCCAATTGGCACATATTCGATCTTACAAGATGGAGTCAACGAATGACTTAACCGACTCAGTAGCAGAGTTTTTCTCATACCCTTTTTCTACGGATGTGACATATCAGGTATGTGCGGCATACCCAGTTGCGGTCGGCATATCTCAGTGCAGCTCCCGCAAGCAAGGTCTAGCAAACATTATGAACAGCTTGGAAGGCAAATCGGACGATGAAAAGGCTGATATATTACGCCGGTCCAAAGTCTATTACTTCAACCAGTACGTTGGATGTAACTGAGATGAATTTGGATACATTTTGAAAGGGCCACATGCAGCATCACAGGCTACTCGATTACGGTCGATGATGTCTCTCAGAAAGATCGGTCGATGACGGATGGTAACAATGTTGCTTTGCAAGGTGGAAGCGAGTCAATAAGAGCCCCGGCCTCTAATGACATCGACATGGACAACGAGCCGCGCATCTTAACCTTCGCGGAGCTGAAGGCGTTGATTGAACAAGGCAAGACTGATCAGATTCCTAATAATCGCATAATTCCTAGTGAACTCAACGTGAGTCATGAGCGGCCCTCTGCGTGATTGTTACTGTGGCTCAGCTAGAGTATCGCTGCCTCACAGACGAGTGCACCCAGTGAGTCAAGAACACAAGCTCGTAAGAAGCCCTGGGAGTTGGCAGATGCAAGAGATTGATTTGAACTGCCGAGGCGAGGAGTATGACATGGTGCCACTCTGCGTCGCTTGCTTACCACCCTCGCCTCATCGTCCACTCCAAAAATTTTAATAACGATCGCATACGGCGCGATGTAACAATTTTTTGATTCCACAAACCCAATGTATTCCGGTATGGCTACGCAATGTGACCGACCTTGAAACAAGGTTTTTCCACTCCCAGACAGGAGCGATGAGGTATCTTCACGGTCTGAAACAACCTAGATGTAGTACTCACGGTAGATGTTGAACGTTGAGATTTGAGAGCCTTGTTATGCTATGTGCAACTAGGTCTCAATTCGTCTGCGTACTCGGCGCGTGCACGACTTTAACCGTGGCGCCGGCATGAAATGCGACGCGTGATCAATGACGCGCTGGTGGCGGTAGTCGACGCGTCTGACGCCATCTCAACACCCATCAAGTCTCAAGCCCGCCCATGTCTCTTTCTCCGTATTATGCAGAGCACACAAGTCAGGACGATCTGATGTCCTACTTTGATAGGAGCGCAGCAGCAGTTCGGGATTCAGCGCGGCGGTGAGCCCAGTCGTGTCGGTCGTGGACCCTTGGTTCACCATGCCATTGCTGTCCAGATTCGAAAAGGAATATGGGCGTCCTGGAGCAACGCTAGTAATGCGCTCGCTAAAGACGAGCCCTGTTCGGTCGGTGCGTAGCTGTGATGTTTCCGCAACGTCTTTGGCACGTAACGGCGACGTCTCAACAGAGCTTCTTCATCGTATTTTCTATCTTGAGTCTGCTCCCAACGCTTTCTTTTATGCAAGTTGCACACTACATGCTAATGTTTCGTCTTGTCTAACCTTTCGTCCAGAGGATTCTCGCTGTTCGTCTTTGCGTCCTTCATCTTCATCTCTCTCGCAGGTGCCGTTTCCGCAGCAACACTCGTCGTTTGTTTCTTCGGTGCGTGCAGTTCAGCAGACTTCCTTCAGGATTTTTTACACCAGATATCTAGGCACCGCCTTCGTCGCCATACTCGCAGTCCTCCTCGGCCTCTCCATCGTTCTGGCCGTGTCGGGCGTAGGGATCTATCTTGCTGCCAGGCTGGCCTTGCTAGTTCGGGAAGAAGGACCACGTACGGGCCTTGCAGATTGGGCACAGGAAAGCAAGAATCAATTATTTCGCTTCAAAGTAGAGGCAGAGCCTAATCCTAAGCTCGAGCCTGAGCCTGAACATGAGGATGAGCTTGAACTCGAATCGAAGTCGCCCAGCGACCACCACGACGATGATTCGAGGAGTGCCGTCTCCCAGGAAACCCTGACCATCGAGCGGGACCCCCTGACTGAATTCATGGAGATTTCGAAGGACCGCGATCAGGATGCCTCCTCGCCAGTGATCGCAGTAAAATATGAAGAGGCGTATTGATAGTGATGCTCTCCTCCTTGTCGGCTTCCGCTGCATTTTGCTACTCGCGCATTTCGTGTATGATTTTTTCTTTTATCGCTCTTCTCTTCCAGAGATGGACGTTGTGGCCAGAATTTTCGAAAACAATGCACGTGTGCTCTCCTGTACATGTATGATACAAATCGGCCGTCCGATGTCTCAGCCCTGAAAGTTTTGACTCTATCACTCAATTATACACGGCGTGTTCATAGACATCGACCAACCTTACGTAGTACGTAAGATTAGGTGCTCGTAGACAAAAAAGGGCAAAACAAAAGAAGGCTACAACACAAACTACTCTTGTTCTCAATCCGACTCCGCTTCTTGGAAATATCGGTCCCACAACGAATTCACTGCCAGTCCGAGATATGTCAAGGTCTACTTTTGAGTGGCGTTTCGACGCTGTTGCCATAACGCATACAAACGCACACCGCAAGCCAAGGCCGGCGAGGATGCACACAAAAATCAATACACTCCACAAGAGAATACAAGCTAATACATCACTACTGCGCATTCCTCCAAAACAATAGTAGGGAATAACTCAGAATACAGTGCCGCTCAATAGCAGCGTCTATAATGCAAAATTATGCAGCCAACTTCACACCAGAGCCCCTACCTGCCCTCTCCAGGCTCCCATCCAGCAGCTCGTATGCAGGTCGATAACGTGGCTGACAGCCGCAGTCGTCGGCAAAGCACTGTGCGTTGGGATCACCCCGAATCCACTCCAGCTTATCGGGCAGAGGATCGTAGCGCGAGGCGTCGGCATGACACGTCGAGGCGGGGTCTCCACGAATCATCTCCAGCGTGTCTGGGAGCGGGTCACACCCGGTAGCGTCTGCGACGCATACACTGCGGGGGTCTGTTGGGATGACCTCAAACTTGTCTGGAAGTGTCTGTAGAGCGGCGGCGTCCGGGGTTAGGGATGAGGAGACAAGGTCGTTGGAAAAGGGTGTCGGAACGCGTGGTTTAGAGCTGTCTGGGTCGAACGATGAACTGGATGTTGTGGTCGTCAGAAGCTGAAGTGTGCGGTACGGCGCACATTTGTGGCAGGAGGGTTGTACAAGGAGTGCGGGATTGCGGAAAGTATTGTATGTGGATCCAAGGGACGTGTACCTGCATGATCATGTCAGTACGTCATACCCAACGACATGGTTCACGTACCCCTCATCATACAAACTACAATATGGTACTTTCAGGACGCGTAGGTATTCCCACACCGCACTGTAAGACCAATTGATGATGGGATTTATCCGCACAAATCGCGGCCAACCCGGATCGCACGGGTTACGGTGGGTTAATGTGGCTAGAGTAGGCAGCTATCAAACTACAGGAAACCTCCCTAACAATCCACACGCACCTCCATGGGGGTCGCCTCGCCGTGTGCCAATGAGGATGGCACTTATGTGAGGGAATCGTGCTTTGTAGCTTTCTAAAGCGTGCTTCATTCCGTCCCCTCCCTTTGCTTTCATTTTCGGTTTCATATATCCATCATTATGGCCATTCGCTAATGATGGAGAGGGTGTCGCCGGAGTGGCCACCGTCTCCACAGGTTGATCCGGCTCCGGCAGTGGACAATGAAACAGATCGAGGTTGTACTCCTTTGCAGCCTCGTCGATGAATGTTTCCAGCTGCGGGAATGGCGAAGGGACAGGAATGTACACAGACGGCGTTGGCCTGTTTGAAACGCCTCTACGGCCCAGGACGGCCACTAGAAGATGGAGCAACACGGTACCTGTGAATATCGGTGCGAGATGAAGATCATATGTCTGCAAGCAGGAAGTAAGTGACCCACAATCCTTGCCACCGTTGAAACTAAGTGATACATGCTCGAGCCTATGCGGCGACGTCATGCTTTCTGTGCCGGAGTGAATATAGGAAACTACTTACCCAAATTCGTCCAACGCTTCGTCGAGGACTTCCAACGCTTCCTGAACCAGCAAGGATAGAGGAGTTTGGGAGGCAGCCAAACTATCGACCTGCCTCGATACCTCTTGGTAATCGACAGCGACCATGGCTACAATCTTTGTGGGGATCAAGCTAAACACGGACAAAACGGTCAAGTCCAGGGGGATTGTGGGAGGACCTCGCGCGAGTGGTGATTCAAAATCAAAAGATAGTTCACAACAGATTCCTGCAAGGTGCGTTGAGCAGCACAGCCCGGGCCTGCGCGGACAAAGTGGTGCAGGAAAGCGGCGGTGAGTAAATCCGACTAGATTGTAATTCGGCTCTCCCTTCGGTGTTACGTAACTTGCCGCCGGAACACAGAGGCTCCCTCAACTCGGTCTTCGTCCGCCGAGGCGGGACGACACTTGCCCGCCCAAACACACTCGAAAAGCATCTCATTATCCGAAACAACCTAGCAGTACAGCAATAAATTACAACAACCTCAGTCATCTCCACCGTGCGAGCTGGCGACATCGCTAGTCGCATCATCTTCTCGTGGGTGTGCATCCCGGGATTCGCGTGCAACACTGGCACCTGAGCGGTCTTCTGGGAGTTGTGGCAGCGACTCGGACCCAAATGCCTTTTCTTTGCCCTTTGCGGCCTGTGCCTTCTTCCATGCGTGTGCCATTTGCAAGAACTGGAATGATGTCGGATTGGACTCCCGTTCATCATCAGGGAACACCATGTCCCAGTCCAGCACTGGAAGAAAATCGAGGTTAGCAGCCCAGATCATATTGCTGAATGAGTCTAGTAGCATACCTGCTTCTGTGCCTCCTGACTCAGGGTCCATGACACGGCGTCGACTGACAAGGGGCATCTTGTTCTGCACTTTCTGAACATCATCTGCCGTACCATTCTTCTCCTCGAATGTTTTCCAGACCTCAAGCAGTGCGGCCCGCTTGAGAGTTAAAACAAGTTAGGACCATAGATATGTCAAATTACCAACCACACTTGCCTCAGTCTTCAGTTGTTGCCGCCGCAAGTCGCTGTAGCCTCTTTCAAACGTTTGCCTTGCACGTTCCACATCTCCTTCTACCATTTCCACTTCATCGTCCTCATTCTCTTCTTTTTCTTCCCTGAGTGCTCTCGCCAGCGGTATCGCAGAGGCTTCGAACTCCGCGTATGAGATCCATACTTTCCAATGTCCACTGAGAGCGATCAGACGCTCATATAGCGCACGGGCATTTTCTCTGTTGCCCTCTTCGGTCTCGAAGTCGATATAAGCTTTCCATAAGATCTCGGGCATCGCAAGCGGCTGTTGCAAGACACCAAGCTCAAATATTGCTCGTGTTCGTTCGAAATCTTCCAGCTGCGACTCAAGCTCTGCATACTTGACCCACGCAGAAGAGTTGCTGGAGTCAAACTTGCACGCAAAGACTCAATATCAGCAATAGCATCGGTGAGGTGGATATGTGTGGCTCACCTCGATGTACTTCTCGTATAATGTCCTCACACGATCAAATTCGCGGAGCTGTAGGGAATTTTGTGAGTGCCGCGCTCTATATAGCAAATCAACGCCTCACATCAAGTTCAAGCTGGATATATCCTTTGAACAACGCCTCTTTGGGGCAAATGCCAATTGCAGCACCAAGGATTTTACGAGCGGCAGGCAAATCAAGTCGGCGCACTTCGAACCTTGCGAACATGAGCCACAGCTTTGCAAAGGTGAATTGCTTATGCGGCACGACCCGAATCGCGGTTTCATACACCTGCCTTGCTCTTGCATAATCCTACAATTGGTCAGCTCAAGTAAAACATAGTGTCCTAATTTATATCTCACCTTAGTCTCAATCTCCTCAAAAAGGGCATAATTCAGCCAGAGAAAAATATACCGCCTCCAGTGGCGTTTCTGTCCGCCTGGCGGGACATGCGCCACGGCTCGTTCATAAACCTCCCTGACACGCCCGATCGCACTCTCGATCTCCTCAGTAGTCGCACCCTCCTCGCGCGCATCATGCAGTGCGCCTTCCTCCAGGCGCGAGTAATCGAACCAAGCGTCATAGTTGTGCCCGTCGTGTGTTAGTTCATCCTCATATTGAATACGTCGCTTTCCCAAGACAGTGGTTTCGAGGGTAGATCGTGTTCCATGCTGTTTCTCAAATCTGGTGTATGCTGCATACAAAGCGGCGGATTTTGAGCGAGGTATGCGGGATAGAGCGAACTGGGGGAAAATGGAATTTAGGCCAAAATCTGAGCGAATAGGTGATCTCTGACCTTATAAATTACTCGCGCACGCTCGTACTCCTTGAGACGAGTTTCCATCTTTGCGAACGCCCCAAATACCGCCTGAGCCTTTTCTACTTCCTCCTCGCCGTCACCAAAAAATTCCAGTGCAGTCTGGAAGACCTCGCGCGCCTTGTCCAGTTTCCCTCTTTCCTCCTCGAATTTTGCCCACTTCACCCAATTTCTTGGCTCTGGCCGCACCGCAATCCACCGTTCATACATTGCGCTAACGCGATCCAACTCATTGTATCGCCCCTCCATCTTGATATAGGCCTGCCACGCCTTGTCATCAGGCTCCCACTGCATCCAGCGCTCAAACACTTGACGAGCACCTGGAACATTCTGCAACAACTCCTCGAGGTAGACATATTTGTACCATAGTTGGTCTATCCGCGGCAGCAAGGTCACTGCACGATCGAAGAGGTTGCGTGCATGTTGAACGTTGCGCCCTTTGAGCTCCATCTCAGTGTAGCTTAGCCAGAGCTGAACGCTGCGCGGGTCTACATCCAGGGCGCGCTCGAACACGGAACGCGAGCGCGCAAATTCACCTTGACTTGCCTACGAGCGCGCAATAAGCTCCGCATAATACTAAACACAAATATTGTACATACCTCCCAGTTGGCATATTGCAACCATTCCTTGCTATGGAGGGGAAAGTCTGTCAAGGTCAAAACGCAGCGAAGAAAGGATACTCACATATTTCCCCTTGTCTGCCTTATCCGCTTCTCGAACTCTTCACGTTTACGCCCGCGGTACTCGTGCAGCTCCTCGAAGTCCTCTACTCTTTGCTTCGGGGCCCGGAATTGCGATTCTTGCCTCTCTTGGGCCTAAACATAGGATGAGTCCGTGAGAGAGAATGCAAACAAAATGCATACATCTCGAAGTAGCTGCTCAGCTGTGACCTAAAATGATGTTAGCAGGAGAGTAAATAAGTCTTTATGACGGAGCGTACTTGGACGGCAGCCGGCGCACGGTTTTTGATGCTAGCCACGTAAAGTATGAATGAACGAACAGTAAGCTCGCGACGTACGCTTACCGCGGTGCTCTCCCGTCCTGCATGGCGTCGATAAGTATACACACAAGAGGTACTCGAGAGGTGGGGCAAGTGTCGGATAAGTGGCAAGGGCAAATCAAGTTAGCGCCTGCAGTGTTGCGATCACATGGGTTCTCCGAATCTTCGCGTTGCGATCGCAGCCACGACGCGGGGCTAAGTTTTAAATTCGAATTTTGAGTTGGGAGCTTCCAACCCATGTAGTCTCTTCTTGGACCCAATTGCGAACGAGGAATTAATGAAATCATAAGCAGCGGTAGGACGACAAGAGGCACTGGAGCTTAGGAGAATGTATGTATGTTGGTTGAGTGGGTATTCTACTCTCCATCACTTCACCAGGCCTCGATTGCAACTTCAGAATCGAACTGTTGAAGAAAACTAGGAGCGGGATGGGATTAATCTCCTGTGAGCAGATCAGATGCTTCCTTTGCTCTTGCAGGCTTCGGATATCCATATCTAAGATGAGATCCAGGACAGGACGAACGCACTGCCAGAGGTTCATTGTTTGTTGTCCAACAGATGAGAGAAGAGTACTTTTTTGAGACATCCCGACGCTATACAACCCTACACAAAGTACACATGAATCTACTGTCACTCTATCCCATTGAGTCAAAGGAGCCCGAAGTTCATTCTCGAGCAGCATTGCTGGTAGTCAACCATTCACCATAATACACGCACTCCTTCGGGTTCACCGGGGCATTGCTCTTGCAGAAGTCAAACGTTGGGCAACGCGTGCAAGGAGCCTGCGAAAGCCCAACAACGACGCGCTCCTGGTGAACCGCACGATACACGTACGCACCATAGTCTTCGGACACATCTATGGCCATAGATCCTTCGGCAACAGGAGAGGAAGAGCGCTGCCGTGATTTCGACTTGGACTTGGGTTTAGACCGGGATCTCGACCGAGAGTCGTCATCGGACGCTGTCTCGGAGGACTCTGTTTCGTTCTCGCTATCCGAGGAATCGTGCTTTCGCTTCTTGCTTTTTGATTTGCTTTTACTTTTGCTACTCTTCTTCCGCTTGCCCCTCTCTTCCTCGTCGCTGTTGTCGTCACTGTCATCCTTCCTTCGTCTCTTCTTCTTGCGCCGACGTTCCGAATCGCTCTCGTCGCTCTCGCTCTCACTGTCGTCGCCGTGATCTCTTCGGCGCTTTTTAGACTTCGATTTTGACTTCGACCTCGATGTTTTTACATCGGAGTCGCTCTCATCTTCGGAATCGGAGGCCTCACTCTTTCTCTTACGCTTCCGCTTGTTTGAGATATCTTTATCCTTCCGTTTCCTCTTCTTCCCGCTCTGCTCTTCCTCGCTCTCGTCTTCCTGTGCAGCATTCATGCTGGAGTCCCACATCGCTGCGCTAAATGCTGGAATCTAATGGTCCAGTCATAGTAAGCTCACACGCACCATAAACGACACACGGGATTGAAACAACGAACTCTCTCAATCTCACCGTCCAAGATGAGCACGTTGAGCAACATCTCGACGTGTTCAACGCTGAGTTGTGTCTCTGTGATTCTGCTCTTGCCCAGGAATGTTAAGATCTGGTGTGCAGTAGGGTATGTAGGTGACCCCGAAATAGGATAAAGTGGCTGGTTTCGCGAAGAGTCGCCATCAGAAGATTTCTGTTTTGGTAGGGTCTGCTAGAGTTTCAGTACCCTTAGTCACATGGGAGAAGGGACGCTTACCCGATCGCGAATGAAGCGTAGACAAGCGCTACATAATAGCTTGATGAATTCGGTATCGAGCTCGTTGTCAGTATACCATGGCCCACCGGTCATCTCAACTGATGGGTCAAGATGATAGAGCATGTAGATTTTTCGTGTCGGATACTGCAAGCGAGAATTATTGAGCTGAATTCAGACAGTACGACTTGTGTACTATGACTTACCTTGACGGATTTGACGGCCTTGATAAGTTGCTTCTGTACAAGGGACTTTAGGCACCGGTCAATGACAGTCTGGTGCAGTTCAGTCTTCGCCTTGAGATGTTTCGTCCATATGCCTATAAGCCGAAGTCAATGGATGATTTTATAACATGATCTCTAGGTGCCTTGCCTTCGTTTCCCGATACTTGAATATGGCTCAGGACCATGCTTTCTTCACCACTCATATCCTTCTTCCTGCCCTTGCACTGTGAGCTGCATCCTCCATATTGATAGCAGAGGTGGCTTACACCTCCATCTCCTTCTTCATAACCGCACGAAAGGATACGATGCCCTTCGTATCCTTCATTGCTTTAAATAACCCCTACACAAGTCGTCAGCCACCTGATTCCTTTGGCCAAATTACGGACCAGATAATAGTTACTTACCGTGCCCAATAGAAAGTTGATAGCTTCCATTCTGGCGGCGGGGTCTGGAATGAGAAGGTCGCATTCTTTCTGCGACAGAGTCTAGAGAAGAGGATGACAGGCTACGCCGCGGACACAATGAGAGAAACGCACCTTTTTGGGATCTGCCAATGCTGCCTGATGCAGCTTTTGCTCTACCGCATTGATTTTCCGCCCGCTCATATTGATTGGATGCAAGGAAGATGCTTGAAGTAATTTCCCTGTGAGCAGAGTAGATACTTGCTCCAACCCTCGCTTTTGCAGGCTTTAGATATCCGTATCTGACCCTGGAGTAAGTAGTGGCCGAATCAGTGGCGAGTCTTTTGAGAAGATATCTGACCAAACTGACCTACCCACTGGGCTCTCAAATTAAGCTAAGATACGCCCTCCTGTTATAGTTGTTCATACAGACTCTGCAGCGGATAGCGTTGGGTGAGGGGGAAAGGGAATTGTTCAAGACGACGAGGTGACAATACGAAGACCAAGATTAGGGTTCCAGATATCGCCGATCGAAGGCCGGCAAGCGCCGTGTAAGCTGGTATGTCATCGATCCGAGTCCAGTGTTCCGTCGACTGGGTGGCGACCAGTCGCCCTGATCGGCCATTCCGTAGCTTGCTGGAGGGAATGCTTTGCCTCATTGAAGGCCTGTTGTGCAGCATACAGCTGATTCCCGGTCAATGATGCCTGCTTGCCACCTCTTTGTTTACTGATCCACTACAAGGATATACAGTCTTCACTATGTGTATGCTGGGAGTCTCTAACAAAACATCTTGTTCACCCTGCCTCACATGTCTGCCTTGGGCCAAGAGACCAGCAATTTGAATCGCAGTTGGTGGTGCAGTTGTTTCTATGACCATCTAGCTGCCAGCACAGGAGGTGCAAAATTCAAATAGACAGGATAGCTTCGGAAGCTCTGACCAAACTGAGGTGTACTGAGCTGGCGCCAGCAGACCACAAAATGGAATGTGTTGCTCCATGGACTGCCAAGGCAATAAATATAATCAAAATGTATGGACTACTAAATGGCAGTCCAAGAAGACAGTGGAGCATACCTACCTAAGTAGTCGTAGCAGTACTCTCTTTAATCAGCTCGAGATATGTACGGAACAACCTCCAGCTTGAACTTATGTGCAAGAAAGAGCAACTACTCACAAGCAAAATTTGAACTGCTGGTCAGTTTCCTTCAGTGTCAACATGAGACAAGTCACATTGGTGGCACTCTAGTCAAGTACTCGGGACCCAGTGACTTGTCATGTCGACACTGGAAGAAACTGACTGGCAGGCACTGAGTTCTTCTGCATCACAATCGCATGCGCTTGTGCTGCTTGCGCCAAGTGCCCTGAAGTCCCGACGGCAGTCCTGTCTGGTCCTGTCTTCCGTGAGTTCGGCGGCCGGGTCGGCCCTCGGGGACACCGTTCGCAGCCTGGGCCTCCGGAGAGTGGATGTCTCCACGTGACTCTCAGTTATTGGCGACGGAGTTCCGGGCGCCGCCACCCTGCAGTCATCTGCGTTCTGTCTTCAATCAAGCACCGATGGCAGATGCGTTTGACTGCAATCTGCCCTTCGACCCGCATACATTGACTGCGTTGATGCCTACAGCTCTCAGCTGGTGGAAAGAATTATTATGGGCGAACGGAAATCCAGCCGATGTACTTACCGACGGTCACGGCTATCGAGGATGGACTGACTCCCGATCTCAACTTCATGGAAGATTTCTCAGCCGGCATCCCCTTTTCGGTCTCGCATACTAAGCAGCCCAATCAGAATCTTGCTAGCGTTGATACTCAGGAATCAGGAGTGCAGTTGGTCCCATCTCCACATTAATAAAAATGTGCACGAGACAACATATACTCCTTGCGGCCCGCGTCTCCAGTGCTGCCCACTCGTCTTTCAGCCCGTGCCCCCCAGTCGCTCGCCATGGACGGCGATAACGAGAAGAAGAGCGAGGTGCAGACAGCAGACAGTTCTACCCCCGTCCCCGCAATCCAGGACGCTGACTTCCCAGAGGGCGGCTTAGCGGCTTGGTCGGTGGTATGGGGTGGTTTCTTTGCATTTATCGCAACATTCGGGGTGGTCAATGCTTATGTGCGTCATACCTCATTCTTTGTACCAAAACCTAACCTCTGACATATTTGTCCTAGGGTGTATTCCAAGACTATTACACGACGTCGATGATGTCTGAGTATTCCTCGTCCACGATTGCGCTTATTGGCGCTATCCAGCTATTTTTCCTTTATGGAGGAGGCCCTGTAGTCGGCAGGATATACGACGCGTATGGAATTAGTGTAAGTCTCGCAGTCCCGCTGGTGCTAGTTTTTAATCAGACACGCCTACAGGTCCTCATTCCATTGGGGTCATTCCTGATCGTATTCTCCCTAATGATGGTCTCACTTGTACAACCCGGAAAAGTATACCAACTATTTCTCTCGCAAGGTCTACTGTTTGGGATGGGTCTGGCTTGCATGTGAGTGCCACAGGTATGATATATATAAAGCCCCAATTCCTGACGGGTGAATGACATTCAGTTTTAATCCGTCCCTTGCCGTCGTTGGGCATTGGTTCCGACGGAAAAGAGCGTATGCAATTGGCATTGTTGCGTCCGGTAGTTCAGTCGGTGGAGTATTCTTCCCCGTCATGTTGCAACGCCTCATTCCCACTGTCGGCTTCCCGTGGGCTGTCCGCTCTGTCGCGTTCATCTGCCTCGCCTGTCTTTCGATATCTTGTGCAACTATGCGCACTCGTCTTCCGCCTTCACGAAATATCAGCCTAAGAGGGTTTTTCGATATTGGGGGCTTCCGTGACTGGAAATATCTGTCTGCAGGGATTGCTGCCTTTCTGTAAGCACTCGACTTTGATATTGTCGGCCTCTGGGCTAAAATTGATTATTCTGCCTGAAGGGTCTTCTACTCCCTATTCATCCCATACTTCTACATCCAAATTTTCGCGGATTTCCAGGGGATTCCTAATAGCTATGCAATCTACCTCTTGCCGATCATCAATGCGTTTGGATTACCCTCTCGCATAATTCCCGGGATTTTGGCTGATAGATGGGGCTGGTATGTACTAGGTCGCACTTCCTCCTGTGCCCAATTAGATAAACACGAATCTGAATCACACGGTTTTTGTAGCCTGAACGTACTTGTACCATCGACATTGATCGCAAGCATATTTACGCTGGCACTGTGGCTGCCAGCTCGCACGTCTGCAGAAATCACGGCGTTTTCTGCTATGTATGGCTTGTTTACGGGTATATCTCGCATACTTGTAGAAGCGTTCAAATAACTGACGTATCTCCCAGGCGCATTCGTGTCTCTCCTGCCAGCGTACGTATACACCATTTCTCCTCTAGAAGTGTACGGCGCTCGACTTGGTTGGTTACTATTCACTTTCGTGTTCATATAACCACTGACACTCTGGCCACACAATCCAGGATCCATGTATCTACTTGTGGGTATTGCCAACCTGGTAGGCACACCCACAGCCGGCGCCTTCGTAGAGACCGTAACTCAATCTGGGTTCAACAACCTGATTATTTTCACTGGTATCCTCATGGCTGCGGGATCCCTACTCCTGGGCGGAGTAGGTGTTCTAACAGCCTTACAAAATCGACGAGCGGCGAAGGCATCATCATTAGCAAGTTCGCTCTCATCGTGAACATAGATAGAATCATAACGGGCTATTACGTGTTACGCAGTATTGTATTAATTTGAGGACATTCGGGTACGCCACCTTCTTTTCACTGCAGAGCGGGACGCGAAGAGATGGATAATTCACTGGACCCGTGAAACATGATGCATGACCTACGGCTACTGCCGTGGTCCAAGTTGTATTTGGTCACCATGCTCCCGGGGCTCTGTCTGCGGCTTGAATCATTTGTGTACGCTGCAGACAACGAGCAAGTTCGGTCGTTGCCTGGGAACCCTGCCAGTGGGATACGTAGTACTAGTTTCACCAATTTCCTAATAAGGGGTCTGTGGTTCTCAATCTTACACTCGAAGCTACCACAAAATGAAATCAAGTTCTCAACGATCTTCTCGTTCTCCTCGCTCCATATTCGAGACCGTACTACGTGCGCGACACTGGCGTCCGCTGAGATCGCAGCCTCAGGTACATAAGTAAATACTCGAAGCACGGGGCTTTTGCCAACGTGCCAGGCTCCGGCCTGAGCGGCGATCGATCTTAGGTACGCACTAGAGCATTCTCTCAAGAGGTAAGTCCCCTTAATCCGCTTGGGATCATTGTTCAGTTTGGAGACAATAGCTGTAGTCACCATCTGGCGGACCAACTCTACTCTTCATTCTGTGAGCCACCGTTCGTGAGCATTTGTCACAGCCATCTCTGTCCAACTATTGTCCATCTACATCAGGACGCGGAGTAGCCATCTATGAACGTCCTCGTCTACTCGGGACCTGAGGTCATCCAGAGCTCCCTTTCCCATTCCATCACTTCTCTCCGCTCCCTACTCGTTCCAAACTACGCCGTACAGTCCATAACGCCACAAACTCTCGCGACGCAGCCATGGTCCCCCAATTGCGCTTTGCTAGTATTTCCTGCATGTCGTAATCCGGCTTCGGTACTGCCTTTCAGTGCCGCAGTCAAATCATACGTTGAGAATGGGGGAAACATCCTGACATTTAGGGCAAGAGTACGCCTTCAGACGGGCCAGATCACCTCATCGGGATCCCTAGATGACCGACTAGCTCGTTTGAACCTAAACAGCAACCAGTCTATACGCCTTTTCGACAAAGGTTCGGGCATTCATTTGGACGTCAGCCTGGGGACCGGACCTCTCGATAGTATTCGGCCTATCACCATCGAGGGCTTCGACAACGGTTCGGTCGAGAGCATGTTGCGATGTGGTGCGTCTGAGCTGATAGTCGATAGGAGAGCAAGCATCGTTCAGAACGTCGCATATTATTCTGATGGCCAGGACGAGGGAGACTGTGCTGCAGCGTATTGCAGCATAGGACGAGGGCATGGGGTCTTCTGGGATGCCCTCACCGACCATTCACTCACAGAGGAACCTGCCACTACTATACTTGTCGGCGCAACAGGTCCCATGTCTCAAGACGCCCTCATCGAAGCGGAAAGTCGTAGACAGAAGCTCCTGATAACAACACTCCAATTCCTGAGTGTTACGCTTCCGGAGCAGAAATCTGCCTCCGCTCATTTACTCCCCCAGCTTCTCACTTGTGCGCCCTCTAAACCGTGGGTCGTTGGTCAAATACTGCAGAAGTTGTCGATCGACCTGACTGCTTCGGATCCCTTTACATGTAAGGATCAGAACGATACGTTTCGGTTCCGTTCCACCTCCGACGGCTGGAGCTTCCTGAACCAGGCTCGAAAAACGTCCCATGAGCCAATCACATCTTTTTCAGCTCCCAAAGACGTTCTTGTGTGCGAGGATCTTCCCAGAACTCAACAAACACCGCTCTTTGACATCCCCAAATTCTATGAACATCTTTCCGCCGCTCGAAGCAAAGCACATCTTTCAGAAGAAGTAGATCGTTGGGGGATGGGCGAAGCTCTGCTGTATGGCGAAGTAGTCACCAGCACTCAAACGATGCTAGACAAGTAAGGCCTTCACCAATTTGCGGGCTCATTGTTGACTCACGTGTCAGAAATCCACGTCTCCTCTCTCTCCTACCTCATCCACTTCTCTCGCTTGCCTCTCATCAGCTCGCAGGAAGAGGCCGCGGCTCGAACATCTGGCTCTCACCTGCGGGGTGCCTCCAATTCTCTCTTCTTCTTCATGTATCCCTCTCCGAGCTCCCAGCAGCCCGCCTAGTCTTCGTTCAGTATCTCTTCGGGCTGGCTGTCGTGGAGGCGTGTCGAGATGATGCTGTGTTATCGGACCACGGCAAGTGTGTCCGACTTAAGTGGCCAAACGATATATATGCAGTCCGGCAGGATGGTCAACAGAGAAAGATGGGTGGCATTCTTGTAAACGCCAGTTTCTCTAGCGGCCAGATGGATATTGTGATCGGTGAGCGCACCATCATCAGCTTTATCTGACTTCATAATCTAAACCGTCGTGCGGTCCTTTCAGGCTGCGGGTTGAACGTCTACAATCCCCCTCCTATCCAGTCTCTCTTGCAGCTTATTCCTACAGTGTCGGATCTGCGTTTAAGCATGGAACGCACTGCGGCCGTCATTGTGACCAAATTTGATACCATGTGGAGCACCTTTCTTGCCCACAAGGGCTCCTTTGACCCGTTCTTGGATCTCTATTATGAGCGATGGCTGCATTCGTACGTCGCCTTGATCATTCCAGTCATTCGTCTTTTTGATGATCTTGCCGTTCAGTGATCAACTAGTAAAATTGATGACAACAACGCCACCACAAGACGTCCGCATTGTGGGTATAACAGGAGATCATGGGCTATTACGCACTATGCCTGAGAGAGATGGTTGGTCTGGGGGTAGCGCATCTTTTATTGACTTGCAGCCCGATGGGAACAGTTTTGATCTCATGGCGGGCCTCATCAAGGCGAAGAGGTGAACAATAGATACGCGTTGTATGACAAAAACATATAGAGGACATGTGCTTGATACTAGGTATGTAGTACCTCTGTTTGAACAATGTAGGGTATGTAGTAAATTACGAGGCCGTAAATATCCGGATCCAAACGAATATGTGCCATGCATGAATTATCATCTTAGCGACGAGCGTACGGTCAGACCTCTGTCTCGACATCAGGCTCCCTCGAATGCAACTTGAATCGATCCTTGATCGCATGGGCACCTTCTTCGACATTGTCCTTCACCCATTGAGCCGTTCTCGCCGGCTTCGCTTGCATAACTCCCCTGTGATCACGGTGCAGCTCCTTCTCGTGCTGCTTCCAGTCTTTGAACTTAGCGATAGGACCTTTAGACCCGCTATGACCATCGGAAATATGCCTCTCTTCCCTGGCATCAACATCGCTATCGGACGATTGGTTACCATCCGAGTCGGGTGGTGATTCTTCTTGAGCATCCCGCGCAGCTATACCGGTATTGGTATCCTCGACTTCATCTTCTTGCTCTATCGCTGCAGAATCACCTCCCGACGTATTCAGCGGCCCCCCTGTCAAAGTCTTGTCCATTTCAGGAGGCGTCCGATTAACTCCATCAGCCATCTCCGTGTCATGACTTTCCCTCGCCTGGTGATTTTCGGGGATTCGCTCGTCCATTTCGCCGACATGCTCGCGCATCCCTGCTGCCTGTTCTCTATTATACTCCTCCAAGGCACCCCTCCTCTCGGCTCCTGCAGCGCCGAATAGCTTGTGATGACGTTCGGATAAACCAGGTCGGAAAATGATGTTAAGGAAGATACTGCCGACCCGCTCGATCTTCTCCTTGTCCGAGTCCCAGTATTCTAAGTTCCCATCAGGCGGAACATAATTCAGTTTCAAGCGCGAATAGTTTCCATGCTTCGCGTGCCAAAGGGCAATCTCTACCTGGCCCTCCTCATTGTCCACGAGATCGCGCAACCAGAGGACGCCCAGCGCTTTTCGGCTTGATGTCTTGAATCCTGACGAATCTTTGAAAGAAATGAGCAAGGGGGTGCTGTATCTCTGCCGAACGGGGATGTCTGAAACGCCTTCATGGGCCCAAATAGTTCGTCCATCGTCAAGCTTGTTGGCCTTCTTCCGCGAAACTTTATCTTCGGCTGAGGACATGGACGTCTTCAATCGTACTTCGCAGTTCGAGAAATCTTGGCTGGACTTTGCAACAACGTCCCGAATTTCAACGGTACCCGTGTCAAATCCAAGTAGATTTGGCGGTAGCTTGGCCTCTACCGGCCTGAACACAAGAGATATTCGGAT